GTATGTGTAGCTGCTAAGGTTAAGTTTCACAGCGACAAAATTAGACAATCGATAAATAAATCTAAAACTACTTGGAGCATAATAAACAAAGAGTCAGGCAGGGTTAAACAACACGATAGAGATATAGTTTTAGAATTAGACAGTAAACTTATAAAATCTAAAGATAAAGTAGCCCAAGCTTTTGAATCGTTCTTTTCGGAAATTGCTGTGAACACTACAGAATCATTAAATTCATCCCCTTCACTTTCTATTGATCTCCTAAAGGAAAATGTTAACGTTTGTGGCAGTTTATTTAATTTCCGTCATGTTAATCCACAAGACATCATAAAAGAGTTTAAATCAATACATGTTAAAAAAACTGAAGATCTCTGGGGCATATCAACTAAAGTTATAGACTCAGTTAGGTATTGATCTTATTTCCCCACATTTAGCTGTAGCTTTCAATAGGTGCGTTGACGAAGGTGTTTTTCCCGATTTAATGAAATACAGCAAGGTTATTCCCTTATTCAAAAGCGGTAGGAAAGTTGATCCTAGCAACTATAGGCCCATTTCAATTTTACCAGCTTTAAGTAAAATATTCGAAAAGGTTATGCTGACTCAATTACTGTCCTATTTCGGTAGGAATCATATTTTTCATAGTGAACAATACGGGTTTACTAGTGGTAGATCGACTAGCGATGCGGGGTAGCGTTACTAAAACACATCTTTGATGCCTGGGAAAGGTCCCAGAACGCTATTGGTATTTTCTGTGACCTCTCAAAGGCATTTGATTGCGTTGATCATATTACTCTTATTAGGAAGCTGGAACATTACGGTGTAAATGGCAAGGCGTCGAAACTTGTCTCGTCATATCTCAACGGTAGAATTCAGAAAGTAGACATAAATGGTGTGACTTCTTTGGGTTCTCCGGTAAAAATGGGCATTCCACAGGGCTCAATACTTGGGCCTTTCTTATTTCTGATTTATATTAATGATCTGCCATTCTTTGTTAAGGACCATTGCGAAATAGTGTTATTTGCTGATGACACATCCTTGATTTTTAAAACAGACTGACATGACATTAACTATGACCATATTAATGATACCCTCTCTAAGATAGTTTACTGGTTTAATGCTAACAATTTATTGCTTAATGCCAAGAAGACAAAATGTGTTAAATTTGAATTACCTAACGTAAAATCGACTTGTCCAAGCATAGAAATAAACGGAGAAAAGTTAGACTTTGTTAATAAAGCAGTCTTCTTGGGAGTGACCTTAGATAGTAAACTTCAATGGTTTCCACATATATCTTCCCTGGCCAGCAGGTTAAGCTCCGCTGCATACGCAGTCCGCAGAATACGTGAGCTTACCGATGTTAGTACTGTCAGACTAGTTTACTTTAGTTTCCTCCATAGTATAATGTCCTACGGGATTCTCATGTGGGGTAAAGCGGCAGATATTCAAACCATATTTGTATTGCAAAAACGAGCGATTCGTTCTGTGTACCGTCTAGGGTCTCGGGTTTCTCTCAGAGAAAAGTTTAAGGAGACTGGTATCATGACTGTGGCATCACATTTACTCAAATATTTTATATGCTCGTAAAAATATACATAATTTCAATAAGAAAGAAGATATCCAACTATAGATAAACAACTCTTTTACGGGGAACTGTTAACGTTTTTACAATAAGATTCCGGAGCATATATTAAGTTTATCATTTCCTAAGTTTAAAAACTACATTAAAAATATTTTGATCGAAAAATCATATTACAAAATTGAAGACTACGTGTTAGATAAAGATGTATGGAAAGACGACATGGCTCCAGAATCCACACAAATTTGATTCAAAGTGTATTCCATAGCATTTAAGTTTATTTGAAAAGAGCAATCCCTAGAGTTTCTTGCTCGTTCTTCTCAGGGAGGTCAGCGTAGTGAACGAGCAGTAGCTTAAATGTGACGATTTCAAGTGTAAATTTATTTCACCTATGGAATAAATAATCTTTGACTTTGCATCCGATTCGTATTCGTTCCTAATCCGAGACTATATAAATCTAGAAAACTCGACACCACTTCGGATGTTGCCGAGAAAATATGAACATCGCTTGTACACATAGAGATAAAATGACGCTTCGGACCGTCATTTCCCGGATTTGGAACTGATACGAACAGGACGTAGTGCGCAAACACTCTTTAAGTATTTTAAAATTTTGGGAAGAAGTAGTGTAGTAGTAGTACTCCAAATCCGAGAAATGGCGGTTCGAAGTAGTCATAGTACTTATTTATATGGGTATGCGCACTAAATCCGAATTTCGTCTTCCGAAGTCGAGAATACCTACCTTCAATTCGGATTACCTATTACCTTCATGGACCGAAGTAACTACAATATTATTGTATTAACCTTTATACACTGTGTCCGATTCGAGTCTGGGAGTCTACTCTCGTTCTCCGTCCGAAACAATTATTGTTGCGTCCAGCCTCCATGGATGACCAACGTCCAGCCTCCGTGGATGACCAGATTGACAGGCCATAAAGACTGACAGGAATTCGAAATTAGACCGACTTTCTTTTGGACTAAAGACGACGACCTTGGCAGGTGCCTTTCTTTGACAGAAGACGACGAGAGCAGTTCTGACTAAACCTCCGACGCGAGCAGACGAAGAACCTCTAGATCCAGGTGATGATGACGTAGAGAGCATAGCTGTGCACGTCACAGTTGAGGCTACGGTGCAACTTCCCGACGACACCAGATTCTACAAATACTGGCGACTTATAAGGAGCACTGCATTGGTCTTCAGAGCCATACATATAATGACCCGTAAGAATGGCTTTCCGCTGCAAGGTGAGCTGACAGCAGACAAGGGGAGGGCAGCGTAGATGACCTGGGTGAGGCGTAGCCAAGAGAGGAGTTTCGGAGACGACATCGCTGCTATCCAAAGGTTTAACTACGTCAGTAAAGATACCCCATTACGCCATCTGACCCCGTACCTGGACGACGCCAACATCCTCCTTATTGGAGGAAGAATCGAGCGTGCTGACGTGAATCACAACGCGAAGCACTCTATGCTGCTTCACAGAAAGGACAGGTTCACCCAACTTCTGATCCTCCAATACCACTTTGACGCCGCCCACACTGGCAGAGAGTCGTCCTTTGTCAAAGGAAGGAAGGTCGGCCTAATTTCGAATTCCTGTCAGTCTAGTAAGTCTGTCTTTGTGGCCTGTCAATCTGGTTATCATCCATGGAAGCTGGACGCTGGTCATCCATGAAGGCTGGACGCGACCCAAATATATAATTTGTATAAATTCGATTGAGTATTAGATACTTATTTGGCACTAACTGTTTCGGACGGATGTCGGACTGAGAACGAGAGTACAGGACCTAAGCAGGTGGCGGCAGCGAAGAGTCAACTCAAAAGTAAACGTAATTCGGTAATATTCATCAGGAAAAAGTGTGGGTACCCAGAATTATTTCTCCTGCTGCGTCTTCGTAGTACAATAATAATGCCAAAGTTGATGGCGATTGAAGGAGACATAGTTGTCGAACAACTTGAACTCTGCATGCAACACAGCACCGGAATGACCAGAATTGTTAAACTCTAGGTGCATAAGCGATATTTATATTTTCTGGGATTCGAATAGTACGCAATGCTCAAGCGACTGCCGAAGTCTGTCCGACTTTTCTGGATCTATTACTTGAGTATGATTCAAAGCACTAGAAATCATACTCAAATCCTTGCCATTAGTGCGTGCGCGAAATCATACTCAAGTCTGCTCAAACCCTGACTTGAGCATTGAGTAGAGTTCTGAAATACGACTCAGATTCGGATCGAGCACGTACGACGCAGTGCGCAAACTACCTTATTGTGCATACGGGAGTCATATACCTACCTATAAATCGTGTCGAAATTGTTTATTGAAAATTGTGGCTTAGTAATTTATTTAATGTTCACATCAAATTTCAATAATCTCAGTACAGAGTACTAAAAAATACCGACCTCAAAAGTGCGTGGAATTACATCTATTTGCCAAGTTTTATTGAAATATTCATTAGTTCGCCCCTATACAGGACTTGACACAGGAGATAATAAAATTCGGTTCTCACTACTCAAAGCATATTGAGAGAAAAACGCCTTGGATTGGAGAAATAGCAAAATCAACTATTAAAATAATTGCTCCTTAAGTAAAATTTAGGCGCTATTTATAAAAATGAATATTCATGCGTCAACAGCCCCCTTAGAGGTGGATGATTTTCTTGAAAACGAAATGGGACCACTATGGAAGTACCCCCTTTCCAACAAAAAAGAATCATGAAAATCGGTTCACAAATACCGGAGTTATCGCGTAACATACATACAATAATCTCAGTACAGAGTACTAAAAAAACCCGACCTCAAAAGTACGCGGAATTACGTCTATTTGCTAAGTTTTATTGAAATATTCCCTAGTTCGCCACTATGTAAGACTTGACGCTGGAGATAATAAAAATAGGTTCTCATTACGACACTACTCATAGTATATTGAGAGAAAAACGCTTTGAATTGAAGAAATAGCAAAATCAACCATTAAAGTAATTGCTCCTAAATTAAAGTTAGGCGCTATTTACAAAAGTGAATCTTCATGCGTGAACAGCCACCCTTCGAGGTGCATGATTTTCTTGAAAATGAAATGGGACCACTATGGAAGTACCCCCTTTCCAACAAAAAAAGAATCATGAAAATCGGTTCACAAATACCGCAGTTATCGCGTAACATACATACAAAAAAAAAGAACATACAGTCGAATTGAGAACATCCTCCTTTTTTGAAGTCGGTTACAAAAAAAAATACAATCTAATTGAGAACCTCCTCTTTTTTGAAGTCGGTTAAAAAGTACCGGCAAACTGTTGTAGTCTGAGTGTATTAAGCTTTTACACATGTTGGATTTTATTATTAGGAAAATAATTATAGATATTATCTAAATATTAAAATGTGGGATAAATAATAAACTATAAGAAACCTGTAAAAAATGGTAATTATGTATTACAGGAATGTTCGACAAAGATCGTTCAGGCCATATGAACTTGGAAGAGTTTGATAAGTTGTACACTTACGTTAACCAGTGGCTTGCCGTGTTCAAGACATACGATTCGGACCAGTCGGGAAGCATCGACGAAAGTGAACTTGGAACTGGTACGCTACATTATTTTTTTTGTGTAGAGTTAGGAGACAAGAAAAAGGTACTTATAAAAATATTTGGTAAGCGAGTTGGAATATCTGTAAAGCTGGGTTTTTTTTAAACAAGGAGGTGCTGTTTCTTTGCTCCTAGATGACTTTCTAACTAAATGCTGGATTAGCAAATAACATTTACGGACAGTAGCACAATTTTATTTTTTCCTCTAAAGCACATTATTTCTCTTTGCACTTTTAATTTAAATTCAAATACTACGTCACAGTCTAAAGCCTGAGAAAGTCAACATTATCGGCCACATCTATAACAAAAACATGACTGTCAAGATTGTTCGTTGAAAATTTTAACTTACGTAATTTACAAAGCTTTCAAATATGTCATTTTAAAAAGTGATTTGTTCCTAAAACTTAATGCCTGAGTTTACTTAAGTAACTTAAACCCAGACGTCAGAAAGACTGACCTGAGAAAATGTTAAGATATAATGGGCCACATCTAAAACAAAAATATGACTGCTGTCAAGGATGCAGTTTTAAAAAGTGATTTGTTACCAAAACTTAACCTGTGGCCGAGTTTACTTAAGTAACTTGAACCCAGACAACCAACAAATGTATACTAGACTGAATCTCCGCCGAACTTGCCTGAAAAGACAAAAGTAACTTCAGAGTTAACGTAACTCGGACATTGTTTTATTCTGGAAAGTTCGTTAATCTTATACTTATTTAACTGTGATTTATTTTACAGCGCTAACGCAGATGGGCTTCCGATTTTCACCGGAGTTTGTCACTTTTCTATCAAAACGATGTGACAATGGAAAAATCTCAGTTGACAATTTCATCGTCCTGTGCGTTCAAATCCAACGATTCACAGAAGCGTTCAGAGTTCGTGACAAAGAACAGAATGGAACTGTGACAATTGGATTCGAAGATTTCCTCAACATTGCTCTAAGTTGTACTATTTAATAACTTGAAAAAAGCGGGGTTGCTAGAGTTTACTGTATTATTTTTAAGACGAATGTCAAGCTTTAACACAGTGCACCAATAATAATTTTTAAGGTTCCGTATGTAAAGTGGTGAATCCATATTGTGAGAGTGATAATGTCTATTTTTTCTATGCTTATTTATAACGGAAAAAAGATTCGACTTAGCCTTCCGTAAGTGTTATCTTTATCTTTTACTACCTGCCATGTTATCTGAAGTGAAATGCATTTCTTTGATTTTTTTACTATTGTTAAAGGATTAGGGCCGTATGTGTATGGATAGTAAATACACAATAAAATAAAAAGATTTTTATGAATTCAATAACTTCTATTGATTACACATAATTATCCATGAGTGATTCTGATTACTGATTAGAATTCCAATGAGACATCTGAAAAAAAAAAGGAAAAATATTTTTGTGTAAGTATTTTATATATTTTCATATTGTGTTTCAGTTTCATAAAAAAAAAGGAGAAAATTCCAATCCATACATATTTATTTACAACTTACTTGCATCATTTTTTCTTCTAATAGCTTCAGCCTTTTCCAAAGAAAACACAACTTCTTGGAAACTTTTCACAGCTGCTCTCATATTATTTTGATGCTGGATATTATCTGGAGAACTGTCATCAAGTAATGTATAAAGATTAGGTATTTCATCAAGCTTTATATTCTTTGCATTATTTGGCTTAAATACAACTGAAACTTTGCCAGTTTTTGGGTGAATACTGAAGGGTGATTTTAGCAAATGATTGAATCCTTTGGTGACATTTACATCCAATCTGGGATAAGAGTACTGAATTTTAATTTCTTCAACCAGGAATTTTATTTTGCGAGTAGTGTTGCTATTCTGTAAGAATTATAAAATAGCTATATGTAAAATAACACACAAAAGTAAAATACCAAAGCTAAAGAACACACAACCTCAAACACATTTGTAACATGTATAACAAGCAGTCTATGCAAATGTTTAAATGGTTATTTGCTTACTTCTCTACAATAAGTTTCATAAAGATTGACAAATGTCACCCATCTCTCTGTAGAAGCTTCAGGCATTTTTTGTAAGGCTTTCTCCACTTGAGACCTTAATTGTTCATCAGGTATTAACTTTAAAAAGTTCTTGAGTCTTTCTGGAGTTGAAATAAACTCTTGATCTTGTAGTAGTTCTTTGAAATATTTGTCAATTACTTTTAAGGCTCTCCTGTAAAATAGAAAACACATTCTACTACCTTGACAATATTGTTTGAATCATCTAATATTTGACTAACTTAAATTTCATAGTTTAGCCGAACGGCGCTGTCTATCTTATACAGTACTTTAATAAATATATTTATATTAAATAAATATATCGTACTTTAAAAAGAAGTCAAGTTGAAATGGTTTTAAATGTCATTGTTTAAGCATTGTTGTGTTGTTAACAAAGCCTGTACTTAGCAGCGTGTCTTTGTGGCTGAGTGGGTATGTTTATTAGAAAGTGTTTGTTGAATATTATGCAGAGGTTTATTTTCTGAGCTAAGTAACTACTATGCTAAAAATCTTACTTGATACTTGAATGTAAGTTCTCACTTCCCAAGTTGACCTTCTTGTTCTGATTATCACCACCCATGATCAAGCAGAGGTAGTCAGCAACAGCAGCTCGACCAGGACTGTCCAGGGTTCTTGCTTCATAGTCTGACACCCAGCAATGTATACCTCTCCTGCCGGAGAATACCCATAGTATGCTTTGAAATCCAAAGTCTTCTGTAAGTATAAATGTGTTATTTTAATACACACATCAAAAGTGTCTAGGGATCAAGTACGTTTAAGAGTA